CAGGGCTCAGGCCTAGAGTCCAAGTCCCATGACCACCAAAAAATAAAAATCTATCAAGGCCATGTTTCCTTGCTTAAAATGTATAACATGTATTCCAGCCAGTTCACGACATCTACAAATTGACAAAATGAGATACTACAGTCTAAGTTGAGAGAAGCATACAAGCTTTTTAAGTATCACAGGTATATGTTTTTCGGAATTAAAATGATGCAGTTTTTTTGTGGAGGTTTTGTTCTTGCTAATGATTGGTGGTACTGAGGCTTGAACATTTTATATGTAGTATTTAAGCATTGAATCGCATACTTCCAGATCTGACATAAGTCTTGTTGAGGACAGTGTTTGATAGCTTATCCTAGAGTGTTACTCTGTGTTAAAGAAATGGAATCTCAGAGAAATAAAATTATGTTTATTCTTCATGCATTCTACTTGTATTTCTTGAGGAGGCTACAACTTTCTTCCTTATAATATTTATTTAAGGACCCAGGTTGATTCATCAAACTCAGTCTGGAATACTATCAGTACCATGACAGAAAAAGAAGAAAGAAGGAAACAGGCTAAGTTGATACTTTGGGTTACTTGAATTCACAATGCTTTGTCCACAGCCCATGATAGGATCAATCCTGCCATGAATTTAAGAGAGAAAATACATAATCTTCCAGCCAGTTGCAGCATAGCAGGTTAGATGGTCAAACTCACTATCAGTGCAATATTAATGTAGAGAGGAGAAAAAAGTAATGTGAAAAATAATATTGTCTCGCACAGGGCTACTTTCAATGTGTATCCAAAAGTTTGTAAATGTTCATATCATTTAAGCTTTCTAAAATCTGTCATTAGTGGATATCCACAATGCAAACAGAAACTTATATTAAGTAATGTAATTTCGAAGTATAAGTAACTGGACAAACTTTTTACATTTTGAGGTGTGAATATAGTTAGCAGCTTTAAATTGTTTCTTCTGCTTGGTTAATTGTTTGTATGCTCTGATTAATTCTATAATTAGAATGTTTAAAGATATAGTTTTCTGAAATATAAACTATTCAAGAGAAAAACATCAAATAATTATAGGTGTTGCTTCTTTCCCACCTTCTTTCCCACTTGATCCTCATTAATCATGCTAGGAAAAGAATAACAACATAAAAATGAGTGAAAATACATATTACTGTTTAAAGTTAGCAAAATTTCTCCAATCCTAGAAAATGTGAATAATATTTTTACTTATAAGATTGACTGGATCATATAAGAAACAACCTTTTTTATTCAGCTTCCAAGAAAGAAAAACTATATATTTTAATAAGTGGAGAGGAATCCTGTGTCCCAAATGGAACATCATTTTGGAGGTGAGGGTAAAATTTTAATGATGAATATTTTACTTAAAGAACGTTTTAGAGCAGATATAAAATTTGAGAGTATGTAAAATGCTTTATATAAATACTGTGTCCCAGGAGGCAAAGCTTATAATGACAGTTTTATGGGCTTTATTCTAAAGCAATAAAATAACTAGTAGCATGAGAAAAAATAATTTAATTAGGTATTATTTATTATTCCAGTTAGATATTTTCTAGAAGGCTACATCACAAAAATTGGCAGTTGTATAAGAATGGTCAGGACTTTCAAAAGACACAATAGGATAAAAAGGATAAAAAATTTATAAAAACAAATGCTTTAAAAGTATGTTTATAAATTAGCAAAGAAAAGGATTAGTGAAATGTATAAAAAGATCACACACAATAACATATATAACCATAGAAAATGATTTTAAGATCTGCCTTCACTGTTCTCCCATGAGAATGTAGGATTGGCATAATTCCCTTTGTTCAGGACTCACCCTTGATACAACTATGTTTAGAATAAGTTTGTAGTCTCACAGAAGTTAATGGACTTCCACCCTCACTAGAGTGGATAGCTTGTTTCTGGTATTTATCATTCCATACTTGTAATTCTTATTTATTTCTCTGAGATCTGGATCTATGTTTTAAGTATATGATGATTTCCTTGCATTGATTTCAAATATGTGTATGTATATATAAATGCAAAACAATGATGATGTAGTTGTAAGACTATAATGTTTTGAGTTGTCTATTTGGACCCTAAGGTATCAATCTTCTGTACAGAGCAGATGTTAAATATTTATCCTCCTAGTTTATTGACTTTATTGCATATGTGACTCTCAATGATTCTAACCTGCACTCTGCTACCAGCTTCTATTCTTTTTTTTAAATTGTGAGAATACCGTACAAAGGAGTACAATTACATGGGAAAGATAACGAGTACATTTCTTATCAAGCATTGTTGCCTCCTCTTTGTTTCCCCTTCCCATCCCTTCCCATACTCCCCCTTTCCCCATACTCAATCCTCCTCTCAACCCTCCACCAAAGTTGCAAAGTTCGTTTTTCGACATAACGACTTGTACATCTCATTATTCCAATGGGTCCACCTGTATCCCTAGTTAAACGATTTGTTTTTGCCCTTCCCCTCCACACATTATACCAACATCAAATACAGTGAAAGCAGGGTTTATGCCGTGGGGGAGGGACATACAAAGCAACAAAGAAATCATCTTATAAATATGTTAGAAACAATTGCATGAAAGGAAAAAAAAACATTTGAATACTTACCTTGGGGTTCATTCTCCTAACATCAACTTATCTGACCTTTTCTGCTTGACTCAGACATATACGAGTTGTTGCAAATAAGGGAAACCATGGGACCTATGTTTCTGTGGGCCTGGCTTACTTCACTTAATATAATTTTTTCCAAGTCTTTCCATTTCCTAACAAATGGGGCAATGTCATTCTTTCTGATGGAGCCATAGAATTCCATTGTGTATATACATCACATTTTCTTGATCCATTCATCTACTGAGGGGCATCTGGGTTGGTTCCATATCTTAGCTATGGTAAATAATGCTGCAATAAACATAGTTGTGCTGGTAGCTTTAATGTGGTATTGTTTGTGATCATTTGGGTAAATGCCCAAAAGTGGGATTACTGGGTCATAGGGGAGCTCTATGTGGAGTCTTTTGAGGAACCTCCATACTTCTTTCCAAAGTGGTTGAACAAGTTTACACTCCCACCAAAAATGCAATAAGGTTCCCTTCTGTCCACATCCCCTCCAGCATCTGTTATTATTACAGTTCTTGATTATAGCCATTCTAACTGAGGTGAGGTGGTATCTCAATGCTGTTTTGATTTGCATTTCTTTTATGGCTAGAGAGGTTGAGCATTTCTTCATGTGTCTATTGGCCATCCTTCTTTTGTCTTCAGAAAAGTTTCTCTTGAAGTCTTTAGCCCACGTATTTATTGGGCAGTTGTTTCTTTGAAGATTTGTTTTTGGGGGATTTAATTTTTTAAGTTCCAGGTATATTCTTACAATTAGTATTAAGAATTTTTTTTGAAGGTCGTGGGGCCTGAACTCTGGGCCTGAGCACTGTCCCTCAACTCTTTAGCTCATGGCTAGCACTCTACCCTTGAGCCACAGTGCCACGTCTGGCTTTTTCTGCTTATGTGGTGCCAAGGAATTGAATCCAGGGCCTCATGCATGGAAAGCAAGTACTCTACCACTGAGCCACCTTCCAAACCCAATACTGATTTTTATGATGACTCACGTAAGGACTTTTCTTACTTTTTCTAGACAGTTTGTTTTTTTCTCCATAGATTTTTTTATATATGGATAGACTTGAGTGCTACATAAAGATTCAGGGTTCTCAAAAACCTAAAATTTACATTTTAATAGACTGCTCACCTTTTTAAAATAACTTTCATTGAAGAATACAATTTGAAGAAGACTAGAAAATGAAATATTCAAGGCTTCTAGTTCTGAAAAGAAATATACTTTTCTAAGGAAAAGAAAAACAATATTTTAAGTATGCTGATTAACTATGTTTAATCTAATACAATAGTCTCCCCAGTAATATTTCATATATGGAAACTGTTCTTAAGAATTTTAGCAAACAATGAAATGTCAAAGTTTTGTATTGGGTTTATGTGGTTTCTACATGATACTGGTAAGTTAATCAGGAATTGTTAAGATAACATTTAATTTCTGTTAAATCTAATATGTGATTGTTTATCAAGCATTTTGATGATGTGTAGTGCTGTTTCGCCACATTCAGGCTCACCCCTTTATAGAATAGTGACTAAATCAGTAGTAGAGAGAGGAGAAATACCTATATGCAAGATTTTTTTTGTTAAGACATTGGTAATTATGTTAATACAATACATTCCAATGGGTCCATGGACAACTCTAGGCTACTCAAGATTAAGTGATGTGAGATCCAAGAATTTTCCCTCTAAATCAGAATTTTCAAAAAATGTTTAATATATAATACATTTGTTTTGTTGTATAGGTAACAAGGCTTGACTACTACGTGTAATCAAATCTTGTTGTAAAGAGATATTTTGTTAGGATTAACGATAGCATATAATGAAAACCACCTAGTAAATCTAAATGAGATAATATTGCATCAGTGTATATTGTGCCAAGTGATCGTTTTATATTATGTGCTTCTTAGAAAAATAAGAGTCTATGATCCAACATGGAACAGTGTTGAAGCAAGATAAATAAGCAATCACTGTCTGAGTTTTAAAAATCAAATCAATGTAGGAAATTGGGATAATAGCAATCAAACTGTGAAGAGATTCAGAACCACGAAGATTAACTCAATTATATGAATAAAGAACATGAAAACAATTTGTTGCTGAAAATAAGAAGCTTTTAAAGTTAAGAAATAGTGATGGCAAAAGAACTTTAAATAATAATCACAGTATTATAATTTTACATTATGATCATTTGGTTTAGACCCTCCATTTGCATAACATTTTACATTATGATCATTTGGCTTAGGCCCTCCATTTGCATAGAAATCCAAAGGCATGCAGCTGATGGGAGGAAAATTGATGGATCCAGAGAGATAGTAAGACACTAAATTAAGGTCTACTTTGCGAAAGAAGCAAAGAACAAAGTGTAGAATGTATAATCTTGAAAGAAACTTTCAAGAAATCTGTTTCATTGCACTCACTTTGGAAGCACATATACTAGAATGGGAAGATTAGCATGGCCCCTGCACAAGGATGACCCCCAAATTCGTGAAGCGTTCCATATTAAAAAAAAAGAAATCTGTTCCAGCTGTCTTGACTTTTGTAGGACACACAGCAAATGTGTCAAGGAGATTAATGATTAAGTGATCAAAATTACAGAACCTTTTTTGTACTCTGGTGATTGTGAAATTCAAAGTCATTTAGTATATTTTAAACATGTTCATATAGTTTTTTCATCCAGAATCCAAATAAAGAGGATATACTACTGAAAGTATTTTATGTATAAAAAGCTCAAGAAAAGTGATCTAGTGTTATTAATGATCAAATTTTATTTCATAGAGATCCTTGATAGTGTTCAGTTGAAAATCAAATTAATACAATAAAATGTATCCTGGTCTAATAACTCTACACAGACATGCCAAATAAAATTTCTCTTTTTCATAGGTATTAAAAACACTAATTATGACTGTTTCCCTGGATAGGAATATAACTATGTAAATAAATATCTGGAACCAACCCAGATGCCATTCAGTAGATGAATGGATCAAGAAAATATTGTATATATACACAATGGAATTCTATGCCTCCATCAGAAAGAATGGCATTGCCCCATTTGTTTGGAAAGACTTGGAAAAAAATTATATTAAGTGAAGTAAGTCAGGCCCAAAGAAACATAGGTCCCATGGTTTCCCTAATTTGAAATGACTAGTATATGTCTGAGACAAGCAGAAAAGGTCAGATAAATTGATGTTAGGTGAAATGAAGCCCAAGATATGTATTCAAATGTTATTTTTTTCTTTCATGCGATTGTTTCTAACATATTTATAAGATGATTTCTTTGTCACTTTGTATGTCCCTCCCCGACGGTATAACCCCTGCTTTCATTGTGTTTGATGTTGGTATAATGTGTGGAGGGGAAGGGAAAAAAACAAATCGTTTAAATAGGAATATAGGTGGACCCATTAGAACAATGAGATGTACAAGTCCTTATGTCAAAAAACAAACTTTACAACTTTGGCAGAGGGGTGGGAAGGGAAGGGGAAGTGGGGAGGGAGGAGATGGGAAGGGATGGGAAGGGGAAACAAAGGAGGAGGTAACAATGCTTGATAAGAAAAGTACTCATTACCTTGCCCATGTAATTGTAACCCTTCTGTACGGTATTTTCACAATAAAAAAAAGAAAAAGATAATACTAATAAATAAATAAATATATATATGTATTTTGAAAAATGAGACTTCAGAATGCATCAGATTTCTTTCTATGCAAATAATTATCAAACTTGAGAATACAAAGCTTGGGTACTTCTTCCTTGTAGTAATATAAACAACTAAATAACTAAGAATAACTAAATAACTAGAATAAAATAGAATAACTAAATGTTTTTCCCAATATAGTGTTTCAAGCACAAAAGATTCTATAAATGCTATAGTTCATACTGTTGCCTTAACAAAATCTTCTTGTCAACAAACAAAATTACTTTATATAAATTTTACTATGCTGAAATTTTTACATATTGAGGGAGGCATTAGTATTATTTTCTCTAGGTCATCTTGGAACCATTTGCATTAATGTCTTTGTTGAATCTTTAATATTTTTAAGGCAAACACAAAATAAAACTTTTACTATTATAGAAAGCATTAAATAGCATATACTCAGATAATAGAGCTTCTGATTTCATGAAAATAAACTGCATAAATTGTAAACATGAGGTTCAGAAAGGGTGTCTTAAAATATTAAAGCTTTAATTTAGCTTTAAAGACTACATCAGTTATTAGTTCAAATGCTTTCCATAAACATACAGGTAAAACACACAAGATACTAGAGATAGAAAATATGTGTAAAAAATGGTACCATGATCAATATCAGCATGCAGAACTAACTAAGATGTACTAAAGGCATTACTAAATATCATAATTGAAACATGCTAATTCCCAAATCATCTAATATTATCTCTACTTAAGTCTTCCTTCAATATTCAAAGAACAATTTCACATAAATTAATTAATTCAAATGTCACAATCTGGTAGCATGTTAGGCAGTTGATCTTCATTACCTAGTAGTACATGAGAAGATTAAACCCCAAACATGTTGAACAAGTCCAAGAACCCTCTACAAAATTATATACATAGGCTAGTTTACAGGTTAATTTTTGTAGAAGAAATAAACATTCTTCAGAGATATACGCTACAAATTTCCCACCAAGCTTAATAATAATCACACTATCAATTCTATGGAGTTTACTCTACTGTTGTTAGGCCCATTGTCATTGGTAGGGAAGCAGTTCTACTTAGAGAAAGAAAAGAGAAGGGTGAATGGAACTTTGATCTCCACAAATCTCTTACTACTAAAATAGAGCAAGGACATAGTCCTTCTCTTTTTTTATATTTATAAAGATTGTAAGTAAATTGTAAGCTTATCACACAGGTGAGCAACTTGAGTTGATAAATGAATTATTTTCCATTATTTTATCCACACTAATCAGCATATCATTGAGAAAAAACACAAATGTTCTAATTACTAAATCCCAAGATCAATGAGCAAGGCAAAATTAAAATAAACTCAATCCCTCTTACTGAAAATAAGATAGAGAGGAATACATAAACAGAAACAAAAAAGAAAAAGAAAATGGGGATAGCATAAGAAAATTTCATGAGAGTAAAAAGTAACCAAGATTGTCTGTGGTGAGCAGGATGATGCACTAAGAGACTTGAGTTGTCTTAAGCTCGTCTTAACTTCCTTAAACTTTTAGTGCAGTGGGAAAGAAGGAATGAGGAGAAAGAATAAACCTAAATGGAACCAGACTTGGGGCTAATATACAAATTTTAGTTAAGGCAAGAAATAAACTAAGTTAATGCTATTGCACTTCAAGTTGACAACTATTACATATTATCCAAGTTATACTACTTTGTTTTTTTTCTTTGTTTATTGTGAAAATATCGTACAGAGGGGTTACAATTACATGAGCAAGGTAATGAGTACATTTCTTTTTTTCTTTTATTATCTCCATTTTTGTTCTTTTATTTATTTATTTTTTATTGTGAAAATACGGGTTACAATTACATGGGCAAGGTAAGGAGTACATTTCTTTTTTTTTTTTTATATTAACCAAGATTATGTTTTATTTCTCATCAGCTAGTGAATTTTCTCACTATTGGCTCCTGACCTCTCCTGTCCCAGAACTGGCAATCATAAATTATTTTTCTATTCTTTTGAGATATGTCTCTTCTCTGAAAACAATTTATTTGATGAATTTCATAAAACCTGAAAATTCTTCTGCTTGGGAGATGCTACAAAAAGTTAAAACATCTTTTTTTAAATATACCACACCAGCCAGGCACTGGTGGCTCACACTAATCAGGAGGCTGATATCTGAGGATCATGATTCAAATCCAGCCTGGGCATGAAAGTCCCTGAGACCTTTTTTGTTGTTGTTGTTGTTATCAAGCATTGTTGCCTCCTCCTTTGTTTCCCCTTCTCATCCCTTCCCATCTCTCCACCCCCCACCCCCTGCACCACAAACCCCCCCACTCCCCCCCTATTTAAGCAATTTGTTTTTTCCCTTCCCCTTCACAAATTATACCAACATCAAATACAGTGAAAGCAGGGATTATACTATGGGGGAGGGACATACAAAGCAACAAAGAAATCATCTTATATACTTTGTTTTATGCATATTTGTTTCCTTTTAGTCATGTATTGCATGTGTACAAGAATTAAAAAACATTGCTGAGAATACTGGTCAAAGAGAGAGAGAGTTTAGTGCTACAATAAATATGGTTGTGGAGATGACTTAAATTGTATCCAGGTTTGTAATCATTGGATAGAAATGCCTAAGAGGAGTATTACTTAATCATAAGGAAGTTCTATGTTTAGTTTTTCTGGGAAATCTCCATATTGCTTTACAGAGTGGTTGAACAAATTTACATTCCCATTAACAATACTATGTCTTATTATCTGTGCCAGAGTCTGTTATTGTTTGTATTCTTGATGATGGCCATTCTAACTGGGCTGAGATCATATCCTAATGTTGCTTTGATTTACATTTTGTTAAGAGCCAGAGATGTTGAACATTGCTTTATGTGTCTGTTAGTCATTCACCATAGCTAAGGCATGGAAACAGACCAGATGCCCCACAATAGACAAATGGATCAATAAAATGGTATATATGTAGTAAATGGAATTTTATTCATTCATAAGGAAGATTTATATTACATCATTTAGAAAGAAATATATGATCTTGGAGGGGGGGGGGCGGGGAACCATGTTGAGTAAAGTAAATCAGGCCCAAAGAGATAAAGAACAAATGTTTTCTCTCATATATGGAAATTATAAACTAATCCATAAATATACTATTAAAATACTTTAAGGTTGTTTGAAAATGTATACAAATGTATCAACTGAAATTGGTATTTTCAGGTGAGAATTCAAATAATGTAATTCCTTAGAAAGGCTAACTCATAATCTAACAAAAATGAAACATGTCCTCCAAAGATATGAGGTTGAGTCAAGGGGAGGAGGGTAAATGAATGAAGAGAGGAAGAGGTAGAGAATACAATCACAAAACTTAGTGCATATTACTAAAAACATTAATAAAATTGACAGGGAGGGTAGAGTTGAGAAGGATGAGGAAGAATGATAAAAAAAAAGTAACATCAATGTTATGTTGAATGGCATAATAAATGTGTTGAATGGCAATTATTTTGTACAACTACTTGAAGATAATAAAAAAACAGAGTTTAGTTGGTCTGCATGTACTGCTAACTTCTCCAATTTAACTGCTTTTGCAGGTGGTGGACATTACTATGACAATGTCTATTTGGAGGTGATTCTCTAATTCCTCTTCTTTTCTCAGGTCCATCCCTGCCCTTATTTTCTTCTAATCTTGAGAGGAGTCTTCCTCAAATTAGAAAAATCATATATCACTATCAAGACCTGAGATCCAATTTTAAAAAATGATCACACAGGGCTGGGAAGGTGGCTCAGTGGTAGAGCACTTACCTTGCATGCATGAGGCCCTGGGTTTGATTCCTCAGCACCACATAAGCAGGGGAAAAAAGCCGGAAGTGGT